GACACTTGTTCATGCGGGCACGACGCTGACGTTCCAGCAGCGGCTTCTTCACCTTCAGATAGTGTTGGGTCTTTGAGACGATTGTGGGTTCGATTTTTGCCTGTGAAGCCATCTTTTGAAATCGCTTTTCGTTTTGCAGTCGAAGAGAAAAATGTGTGGCAGAGAGGTGTAGCTGAGTTGTGCCTTCTGTTCCGTGTGTGTTGCAGGATGCTGCTTGAATGATGCTGTTGTAGGCTGTTACACTGCCTTTTATACCAGCAGTTCGAGGTCCAGGTCCTGCGGAGAGGACCTGCCCTTGCAGGTAGCCAGAAATCTCTAGAAACCTTTTTGCTGTGCTTGCGTGCGTGGGAAAGGAAATCTTAAGAAGGTTTCTTTGTTCCCTCTGTCTTTCTTTCATTATTTCACGCCATTTCCCCCATAGTAACTGCAATTAAAACCGTAAAATCCTGACCAAGAAGTGGAAACCGAGCGAACATAGCACAATTGTTTGCATCTAACTAATTTGGCTTTGGGGCTGCGCAATTGAACATCTAACTTGGTAACATGGTAATTGTCTTTCTTTGGCTTATTGATTGCTTGTTCTGCTACGAAATGTGTACTGTGTAAGGATCTTGGTCATAGATTCGTGTTTGAGTTCTGGCATGCTTCAAAGACATCAATCACAAAAGTTTCATGGGTTTTGAGTGTATATGCCATGCGAATAAGTCGCACCTCTGGATGAAATCTTCTTTAAGATCCTCTAAATATAATCTCCAACTCAATAATCGTCCCAAGTCTTCCTCTGTAATAAATCATTTTTATACCCGGTTCTCGCACGTGATAGGTTCTCGTAGTGCCCTCTGAAACAGAAGAAACGTTTCCGACACTATAAGGCATATATATTCTTCATCAGTATCTGTCCGTCCGTCTGTCCATCCCATAGAGCACCTAGTGCTCAGAGACCATAAGAGATGGGGCAACCAAGTTTGGCATCCAGTCTACTGTATGCTCCACTGTTTAGGTTTTTTCAAAATTTCGGCCCCTTCCGCCACCTCAAAGGGCGAAAATCTCCCACATCCACAATTTTCAAGATAATCAAAGACTAAAAACGCAGTTCCGTAGGAAGTGGCCATATCTTTCAGATCCTTGAATTAAGATCTGCTCAGAAGAAACTCATTTGCAGTGGCATCACCCCACCCCTTCCAACAGCTTTGCTTATGTTTGTCTGTTGTTTTCATTCTTTCTCTCTCACACACCCTGCCTCATTTTAAATCTAAAATGTAAAATGTTTAAAAACACCAAAGTTTATATATGTATGTATGTACATATGTATCGCACTAAGGTTATACACATAAAAAAAACATATTAATATACTGACTGAGTAATGCGTATGAGAGTTGCGACGCTTATGAAGCGACTCACACACTTTCCTTATCGTTTTAGTTGTGCTCCCCCAGAAAATCGTATACCATAAGTTTGAGCACTTTAATGGCATTAAGGGACAACGCGTGATTGTGGATTTTGTATGTTCATAGTTCTCATCAAAATTCTCTTACTTAAAATCTTTTTTTTACCCTAAAAGTCTCCCTATTTGTCTATAATTTATAACTCTAATCTGGCCTGCTCTTAATGTGTTCCTATCCTTGGCACAAACTTAACAAGCAACCCTTAAGATGTATCCCCATTCCTTCTTTTCAAAATCAAATTCGAGTGCCTAGAAAGTGGCGAATGCTTGGCAGGTTGTACTCCGCTACCCCCTGCTCTTGATTTTGGTTTGCTCGATTTTCATATCGTGAGAACCGCTTGAGGCGCGTCGTGTGTTTCCCACGCGATGTGCACACCTGTCATTTAAGACGCTTATATGGTTACGATTACAGACACACACACATACACAAAGGCAGTGAAATACTTATAGCGGAGCAGCAACAACACAAAGATGAGGGTACTCTGCCGGCACACATTTATTGCGCCGGCGCGACGCTTATTATCGGCGTCCCTAGTCTCAAGTAGTCGCTCGTCGTTCGTGTGACTGACTGACTGACTGACTGACAGACAGATGGAACTGACTAACTGCCAGGGAGACTAAGCGAGGGACAGACTGGCCTGACAGACAGTCTCGACTGATTGCTGGATGCTTTACTTTAGTTTTTCACTCTTGTCGCCGTCATTGACGATTGTTTAATTTAAATTACCTGTCGAGGCAGCCAGCTACCAGCAATACCTTCCCCGTCCTGTCCCGTCTTGACTTGACTTAATGATTATGACCAAGCTCTTGGCTTGTTTTCCAAGGAACTGTACTCAATAGTTATTTGTACTTTACGACATGAGAGCTAATTGAACGCGCGGTCAGTCCCGAGCACACCAGCAGACCCAGAGGAAGTTTATGGAGGGCCTCGAGTTGGCATTGATTGAACCTCAGCACCCGCTCCGTCTCGTGGGGAAGGTGAGGTGGAATCATTGACTGACTGACTGGATTGTCCATGGCGTTGACAGCACTGGGGCGCACCACTACAATGGGCCATAAAATCATTAACGGATCCACGCAGAAGACAGATCCAGCAGGCGGTGAGTGAGAACCCACAGTAGTCGGGCTGACAGTTTGGATTGATAGTTGGCTACTGGTCTGGTAGATCAATGCTGATTCAGCTGAATAATTGCACTAGATCGATGATCCATTCTACTTAGTGTGGACCAGGGCAATCATTTGAGCCAGTTAAAGCTGACCACCTCGTAGCCAGTAATGCCATGCGTTTGTTTTTTGACAGCTTCAAAATGTTGTGTTAATATTTGCCCACCATTTATTAGACAAACGATAAGTGGAGGGTAATTGTTGTCGGATATTAGCACCATGAGATGCATTAAAGGAGTTGCAGAATAGCTTATCCTGTCTGCAGATAGCTTGGGAAAGAAAGTTGATTTTCTGAGTTCTAAGCTGCTTGTTCGGATTTGATGCGGTGACAATTCTCTTGGAAAAATAAACTAAGAAGGTGAAGTGGGAGGTTTTTATACCCGGTACCCGAACAGGGTATAAAAGTTGTGACGCGTAAGAAGCCTCTTATTTTTTTTTTTTCTACTTATACTAATATTACAGATTTAACATGTTGGTTTAGAGTTGGTGTGAAAGACATATGTATATTCTTGATCAGCATCAAAAGCCTAGTCGATATAGCCATGTCTGTCCGTCCTGATAAGCGCTTTGTACTCAGAGACCATACGAGCCAGAGCAACCAAGATTTGCACCCAGACTTCTGTAGGGATGTATTTCAAAATTTCGCCCCACCTCACAAGGCAAAAAACCTCCATATCCACAATTTTTAAGAAAAGAGAAAACTATAAACTAAAAGCTAAAGAGAAGGAAATGTAAAATAAAAAATTCGAAAAACCCATAAGGTTATGTATGTATACAGTGAATGACAAAAAAGAATGACAGATAGACATAAAATCAATTATAATTGCACAATTGTAATGGTTGGTAGCTTATTTACATAAGAACAGAACCCAGTAACAAGTTAACTTCTAACGAGGATGAACGTTGTGAGACACTATACCGGTACTCAGGCATCTGTATACATGTACATATGTATGTTTGTAAGCAAGTACACTTACTGTGGCACATATGTAAATACATACATATGTATGATAGAGATTAATTTCGAGTAGCTTGTATAGTTCGTGTATTCTTTATTTTCTCTTTTTATTATCTGCTTAAAACACACTCCTCCCCTTTCCCATTTCCTTAAACACGTCCTTAATTAGTTACAACCCCGCCTAGCCACTTGTCTGACTACCCTCCCATTTTGAACCCAAATGCTTCACTCAATTAAAATCTCCCCCAAAAAGTATCATTGACTCTCTCCTCAAAAACAAAACTCAAAGCAAACTCAAATCACCCAAAGCCCAGCTCGTGCCTTTTTCACACCCACCCCCAAAAAATGAACACCACCGCAAAACACAAAATAAATCCAAATTGTCATCGCAGCTAAATGAAAGAACTAACAGAAAGTAAATTACAAAATGGAATGCACCTTGCACGCAGATATGGCCCACACGTGGCCGACCCACGCTCAATCAAATGACGAGCACGCAGAGGTGCACTTGTCCGCCACGCGACGAGCGCAACGCTAAGCTTTCCAAGCGATATGCCACAGAGACAATCAATCAGGAGGAAAGTGGCTGAGAAGCGACTGTGTAAGCAACTGGGAAGCATCTGGGAAGCGGCGAACGCGTGACCCGAGGGGCGAGTTATACAATTAACCAAAGTTAAAGCAACTCTGCAGAGGCAGCAACAACCACCACCACTGGAAGTTCCACTGCCTCAGCCTCCGCACCATCCTCCACTACAAGGCAACGAAATGAGCGGTGCTGTGGCCTAAATTGCAAACAGCTGCCACTCGAACCGTGGGATTCTTTTTCCCCTAGCCTGAAAAGCGAGCGAGATACGAGATACGCCAGGATAGGGGAAGGGCCTTTACGTCTGTCCTCGGTTGCTCGCAAAACCTTATCCATGGGAACCACAACTGCTCGACGTTCTCAATATTTATTCAGTTCATTCGTTATATTGAAAAAAAAACAACAAAATGAGAAGGAGATAAAATATAAAAAAAGGGCCGGCCGGGTCGTGCCTTGTAGGGCAACACGATTATCCTGCACGTGTTGAGCTTGCTTCGGGGGTCCCTCACGCTAAAAGCGTGGCAGGCAAACGTTGGGCTGCTGTTTGCTGATGAGGCTGCCACTGCCACTTGCGCTACTGCTCTGCCGCTGCTGCTGTTGCTCAGATGGGCACATGTGGCACTTGTTGTTTTGGGTGGGTGCTACAGTTTTTGGTGGTGCTTTTCTTCTGCCCGCTATAAAACCACGGCATTTGTCATCAGGCAACAACAGTTACAATTTGGCAGCCCACGCGACTAGAACACAAAGTCTAAAAAGTGAAAATTCTACGTAGATATCTTAAAAAATAAAATTGAACGAAAAATTTGACAGTACAACTTCAAAGTAAAAATCTTCTTGCTTTAACGCAAAAAATGTCGAAAGTTAAGAATTNCAGGGGAAATAGCAGCAGCAACAATGACAGCCAGCTGTACGACAGTTTGGAGGAGATTGCGCAGAATCAGGCCAATGAGCTTATGCTGCTGGAGACGCTCAGTCACTACGAGAAGGAGCACTTGGTGATTTGCCTGGAGACGGCAGCGGGCAGCTTCTATTGGTGGTCACAGTAGCAGCAGTAGATGGAGATACTACGGCAACAAGGAGCAAAAGAGGTAGATAAAGAAGGAACTACAGCTGGAGGTAAGGAAATCGCTTAATCAGCAGACAAATCTCAGAGAGAAGTTCTGCAACAGGTGCAGGTTGAAGAGAAGAAGCTACAGAAGCAGCATAAACAACACCAGCAGCATCTGCTTAAGCAACATTAGCACCAACAGCAGTAACATTAGCAGCGGCACCAATTAGAGCATCAACAGAAGCTTAAAACGAAGAGTCAGCCTCTGCCAAAACATCTCAAAGAACTTAAACATCATCAGTAGAAGCTTTAACATTGTCAGCAATAAATGCAACAGTTGCTTCAACAACATTAGAATCTCCACATCCACAATAGTTTCATCACCAACAGCAACCAAACACAAATGTAACAAAATGGCCATCAGCAGCAACAGAAGCTTCTGATAAACAGCAGCAACATCTGGTAAGGCTAGAAGCCGTAACACATCGTACATTTGAGGAAGCATCTAGAGACACAACAGCAGCAGCTAAAGCAGCAACGACAGCAGAAGCAATAAAAACAGCAGCTAGAAGGGCAGCAGCAACAACATCTCCAGCAACAACAGACACTCCGACAGCAACATTATCAGTACCAGCATCAGCCAGTCGACGTGTGCGCAAATAAAACCGGTACTTAGAAGCAAAAATGTATGAATGAATGAGTGACACGAACAACAACTACAACAAAAACGATAACAACCAAAAGAGAATTCCGTTCCATGAATGAATGAATGAAGCTGTCGCAGCAACTTACGTAAATATGTATGTACAAACGTATATAAATACATATGTATGTATGGTACATACGTTCGTGTGAAACAAGCTGAGTGATAAAAAAAACAGCAATAGTGCGCCACACCAAGAAGGGCACATAAGCGAACCGTCTCTCTCTCTCTCCCAGTTGGAGTCCTGAGATGGATGTTAATTCTCAAGAATACTTCATAAATTTGTGATAATAAATATCTTTAGCAATAGGAATAGCATAAATGTTATTAAATAATAAAAATAAGAAAATACTCAAAAATTTCAATGAAATAATCGTGTGTCATTTTTTATGGTGGTGTTAATTACAGGGCGCTTAATATTTACATATAATTTACAGATATTACAGATATTTGCATATGCAATGGAAAAGAGTCAATTGTTTTTTTTTAAAAAAGGAAAGACACTTAAGACGCTTCGTAAAAAATGTAATTTACAATCGTTTGTCTATGGTTTATTTTATTTAATTTAATTTTATCTGTTGTTGAGGTTTGAAAATTACCAGGAAATTGGCAATGTGTAGTTTTGGGTGTCAGTATATGCGCAGGGTGTTCAACCCTCATCCTTATCGATCCCATAATCACGTACCAAAAATCCACATAAACTTTCCATCAACGTCAGCCCTTTGCATTCCGCACTAAAAACCAATTAAATATGATCTTCAGCATGCCCAACTAAATCTCCACTAGCTGATCCACTGTCTCTGTAACAAATTCGCAAAACACATCACACAAATGACAATTTCCTGCTTAAAAATTCATTTGTGTGTTGTTTTTTTAATTGCTTTCTGATGTTTATTTTTATACCCGGTACTTGATTATTATTGTATCATTTGCAGTAGCTACCCCCACCCCGTCCAGAAGCTTTGCGTATGCATGCTTAGTGTAGTCATTCTTCCTCATTCGCTCACTCTCTCTCACTCTCTCCCTCTCTCTCCCTCTCTCTCTGCACCGCGTACCTGTCTTTGGCTCAGACTTTTTTTATTTTTTTTTAGGTTTTAAGTTACCGCTCTACCCTTGGGTAGAGGGGAATTATTTGGCCTCCCGCCTTTACAAGGGGGAAATCGCCACGTCGAAATATGTAACTTGTTACAGTTTTGCTCCAATACTTACCTGGCGTAGAGGTTATGTTCCCCACGTGCTTTCTCGTCACAGTTTGCGCGCAGACTTGGCTCAGACTTCCTGTCAAGAGTTTTTAAACCGACCACTTATATTGTTATTCCCGGTTCTCGAAGAGTAAATAGGTAATATTGTATTTGTGCACAAAGTGAATGTATGTAACACACAAAAGGACGTTTCCTTCCTACCCCATAAAGTATATATATTCTTGATCAGCATCAATAGCCGAGTTGATTGAGCCATGTCTGTCTGTCCGTCCGTATGTCCGTCTGTCCGTAAAAGAAAGAGACCATCAAAGCAAGAGCCACCAAATTTTGCTCACACTGTTACCGACCCCGCAAAATGGCGAAAACCTCCTAAATCTACAATTTTGAAGAAAAAAGAAAACTAAAAACGCCATTCCCTAGGGAATTCCCTAGCTCACTAAATTGGGATCCGATTGAATCATTATTATAGCCAGAATGAAGAAATTAATTTGCTGTGGCTAAACCCACCCTGTCCCGCAGCTTTTGTTGTTCTTTTCACATTATCTCATTCGCACTCTGCTTCTGCTTCACTCGGCCTCTGCCTCTACCGATTTTTAACCCACCCCGACCAGAAGCTTATATTTGTTTTTTTTGTGTGCGGGTGCTGCCTCTGCCTCCGCCGCGAGTCTGCAGTGTGTAGGTCTAGGGAATGGCGGCGAGCCAAATGAGCGTTTTGGTGTGAGAAGTGTTGTAGATGTAGATGACAGATGATGAAAAAACTTAAAATTGGACAAAACATCGCTAAGGTGCAGATGTAGTACTGAGTGCCGGGTATAAAAGTTGTGACGCGTAAGAAGCGTCTCACACGTCCCTTCTCGTATATGTACATATGTATGTAACGAATGCTATACATCTCAGCTTTAGTGTGTGTCAATTTGCCGTACAGTCATTTAGTTTGCATCTCCCTCGATTCATCCCTATCCGTATCCCTTTCCCACTGGGTCCCACGATGATGATGTGCCCAGGCATGCCACTTTGCGTTCCTTACGCTGTGTTGTTGCCCCTGGGCCAAGCCGTTTGCCCAAGTCTTCAACAGAAGCTACAAATCCAGCATTAATAATTGACAGCTACCGACCTGCAGGAGCAAAAGAGATGGAGGGACAGAGGGTCACGTCTGACAAAAAAAAAATTAAGTTAAATAAGGAAGGAATAAGGAATCACCTGCCCTTTATTTAACTTAATTTTTTTTCTCCTTCGCCTTCCTTCGATTTACAGTGGTGCAAGGGAAGCAAATTGTGGGTGCAGGGAAGCTGTAGCAAAACAAAATATGGAGTAAATAAACTAAAAATTTAAAATTATATTCATCCATAGAATTTGTCTAACCTAGAAAGCAATTGAAATTAAAGGGAAGAAAATAATTTTCTTCTATTCCCCTAAAGAACTCTCCTATAAACAGTTTTCAAAGAACAAGTCAAGACACAAATTCTGACACCGCCCAAACATCATTCCCATTCAAATTACTAAGCATCACAATTTATGGAAATACTTCCCAGATGCACCTTAATTCCGCTACTCGCATCCCCACGCACCGTCACAGACTACGGAAATAAACGAAAGCAAGGACACCTTAAAATCTCTAGAATAAAATTCTCAATTATTCACAGGTCCCAAAAAACACGTGCATACATATGTACATGAAATAGAAAAAAATCATTCAGACGGTCATAGTGATCCAGAAATTCCGGCATGTGTGCAAAAACATTCCAAGGACCACCTTCTTTCCCACGCCCCGCAACAGAGTCAGGAATTTACGCAAAAGCAAGTAGGAAATCCGTAAAATATCTTGCCTAAAATATTCACAGGTCCACCAAAAAAAAAAAAACTTAGGAAACCCTTACATTCAGTTGGTTATAGAGTTCCGGAGACTCCCCGCATGTGCGCAATGGTTTGACCCACTATGCCATGTGCATAAGGGTTCGGACCTCGGGGACACGGATCAGACACGGACGCGGGGTACTTTTGCGCCCTACCTCCGATTATAACTTATAACACCAACGAGCGAGAAAAATCTTGTGGGAAACTTTAGGGCAAAGTGTTTCCCACGATTCGAATGTCAGGCTAAAAGAAAACAGAGAAGAGCACACACACACGTACACACGTGCAGCAGCCGCATGTTCAACCACCAGAAGCAGCAGCAACAGCAGCAAACAAGCAAAAGACACAGGAATCAGGGAGACACACCATCTTCATCCCCTTCCAAGACGACTTGTTTGTCGAGAAAAACCCAACACCGAAAAGCAGCCGAGGATCGAGGCCGAGTAACGATTCGTAACGACACCACCGAACCACTCGGCTCGACCCGACCCAGTGACTGACGGCAGGTGGTCGGTCGGTCGCTCGCTGCCTCTCTCGCGTTTTCGTTCTCTGCACATGCGCGCGTTGAGCACGAGACGACTCTGCCGGCACGTGCAGCTATAAAACCAGAGGTAACTGGAGACGAGAGCAACATTCTCAACAAAATCGACGTGCAGAACACACAACCGGAATACAGAGCCGTGTCTGCCATCAAGTTTTCCACATTCACATTTTTACGTCAAGAAAACGAACGCGCAACATACACGCAAATGGCCACCAAATACGAAGCTTCCAAGACGTACCAGTACCGCAAGATGGTGAAGCCACTGCTGGAACGCAGACGTCGTGCGCGTATCAACATATGCCTAGACGAGCTTAAAGCTCTGATGGCCCAGTGCACAGTCCAGAGCAGCGATGGAAAGTTCGACCGCGCCGACATTCTGGAGGTCACTGTTGAGCATTTGCGCAATCTGAAACAAGCGAGGATTGAGGCCGTCGCTGCCACAGCCAAAATCACCGTCAACACCAAGGCCAAGCAGAGTTTCCGCGACGGTTTTATCCGCGCTGCCGATGAAGTCTCTCGGGCGCTGGCTTCTTTGCCCAATGTGGATGTCGTCTTTGGCACCCACCTGATGACACATCTCGGCATGCGACTCAACCAATTGGAAATGCCCGTGGCAGCACTAAGGCCTATAAATTCCCCGCTCTCCATAATCTGCCGCGGCAAGAGCAACAACAGCATCGGCAGCAATGACAACAGCAGCTCCTCCATGGAACCCAGTCGGGATTTTTGCAGCAGTCCCGTATCCAGTGGCTACTGCAGCGACAGTGAGTGCAGCGTCAGCTCCATGCAAGAGTCCCAGCCTCTGCTGCAGATCAGCACCGCTCAAATTTGGCGCCCCTGGTAGATACATCGATTGGCCAACCCATACTCAACGGGCAATCGCGCAATGGCACCTGTAGCTCTGTATAAAATGCTTTACAATGATTATCGTAATCATACTTAATAAGTGTTTAAAACTATTAGCACGTTTTAGGGTTTTAAATAGATTCTGTGATAGGACATGCTTTATTTACTTTTGTGAAGATCAGTTGATCAGCAGATTGTTTGTTTACCATATACCATTTAAACATTTATTTTGTTTACTATATAAGCGATCTCAACAATGCGCAAAACAATAGATACAAAAACAAGAAAATACAAAAAACAAAATAAGAACTGAAAATTTTTTTATTTGGGTCTTGAACATTTCTTATTCCGCATCTAGCAATAAGAAATTGAAGAGCGGAGGTTTTTAATATGGTATTTTCGTTCTGTGGAACATTTTTCTAATAGAAAAGTGACAAGACAATTGAAAGTCTATGGCCAATGGACTTGGAGATTTATTCTTAATGGAGTTCCCGGATAAGAGATAAGAGTCATCAAAGAAATTAAGAGTTGTTTTATCTTTCTCGCTAAATTAAAAAAATGAAGATATGTTAGTGACATGTTACGTATTCCAAGGGTTTTTTTAATTTTTTGCCCCCGATTGTATGGGGGCAATTCAATCTATACAAAAGCGAGCTGATTCCAGAAAAAATAGAAGACCATCTCCAACCCTAGCGACTGAAGAACGTCGACACACGACTCTCGACACGTGCCGACAGATTGGTTACATTGAGGAATAGATGAAAGTAATTACGGAATAAATACATAGATATGATTGAGTGTCTCAAAAGATTAAAAATATTACATATGTATACAATTTAATGTGTATGCATAAATTGCATGCAGGTTGCTATAAACATTAAA